GCAGCAGGGAAGTGCTTGTTACGTTGTATAGTATTTGGGATTTTGGCTTTATAGACGTTGCTGCTTTAACTGACTGATAAGACGTCTGTGTTTATGTATAAAGCCAGGAACAATTTATTACCTGGTGGAATTCAAAAATTATTTAATGAAAGGGAAGGGGGATACAATTTAAGGGGTCAGTTAAATTTAAAAATTCATGCTATACGTACAACCAAAAAAAGATTATGTATTTCCATAAGTGGGGTAAAACTATGGAATAATTTAAGTGGGGACTTAAAAATAGTAATAGAATTAACGAGTTCAAACATAAATATAAAGGTATGTGTCAATCAAGATATATGCAAGAACAGGCTTAATGATTATATTTTGTAAACCATTCTTTTGTATATCAATTGTGTGATTTAAGAATGTTAACACTGTTATATTCTTTTTTAGTATAATGTGTGTGTGTGTAGAAGTGAATCATTTATTGCTTGCAAACCAATGATGGTAAGATGATATGGGGTAGGACTGGATAAGTCTGACTTCTTCCTACTCCATTCAAGTATGTATTAGGTATAAGCTAATTGATATTGGATTGTGTGTAAAAATGTGTGTTGTTATATCAACTGGTTTATATGCTTGAAAGAATAAATAAATCAAATCAAATCAAATCAAAAATCCCTATGCTATCCTATAACCACAGAGCAACAGTGTGACAGTCTTGCAGCTTCAGTGCAAAACAGCAACTGCTTGTAGAATGTCCATGACTCTAACAAGCATGTTTCCTCCTTAGGATAAGTAAGAGCTTCCACTAATTACGTTTGGTAGTTGTAAAAACACCTTTTCATGGTGATTTCCTCATGAGCTCTGTCATTCTGGGTTGTTTGCTGCCACCTGGCCATGTTTGTATCTCACTTAGAAACCTGCCTGTTGTCCTGAATATTTATTTAGTGAATGGTTCATTTTTGTGTTTGTGAAACAAGAAAGATCTGAAATGAAATGTACCATGACACAAAGCTGCTTCACTGGTCCCCTCTGGTGTTTGAATCTGAGACTGTCTGTCCCCCTCAGGCTGTCCTGCAGAGAAGCAGGGCTTTGCGCCTGCTCTCTGTGCTTAAACCTTTATTGTCTATTCAAGGAGAAAACTCACATCAAAACACTGGGAACATTTTGAGGTTTGATAATAATGACTGAGATATCACTGCTATTGATGATTTACAGGCAGTGAATTAGAGTAATGTTACTACAGGTGAATGCCAGATGATGATATTTCAAGGTTAAAAATATAAAGCAAAGCTGACTATACAGTACTGTTGGCTAAATCATTGTTGTCTTTTTCAGTTAGTGGCAGAGAGGAGCAGAAGAGACATTTATTTATAGCCCAGACCATAAACACTTAGACGGTTCTCCATGTGCTTTGGCACATTCAATTTGAAATTAAAGCGCACAGAGTTGCAGCTTTAATTTGAGTAGGTTTAGGTCAGTATATAAGAACTGTATATATATATATATATACAGGTATATATATAAGAACTGTGCGTCAGCTAAAGACCCTTTAACACAGTACTGCCTTAATACCTACATTGCCGACTTCAGGAGGAAGAAAACTGACATCTTGCCACTGTATATCAAGCAGGGACCATGTGGAGAGGGTGCTGGCCTTCTGCTTTCTGGGAGTCCACATTAAGGAGGATCTGAGCTGGAATACCTCTGGACTGCTTAAAAAGGCCCAGCAGAGACTGTACTTCCTACGGGTGCTCAGGAAGAACAACATTTCCCTGCTGGTGTCGGTGCTCCATTGAGAGCATCCTTATATACTGTTTATGTGTATGGTACAGTAGCAGCACTGTGGCTCAGAGGAAAACGCTCCAGAGGGTCATTAATATGGCCCAGGAGATCGTTGGCTACCCTCTTCTCACTCTGGAAGAACTACACATTTTCACTGCCTCAAAAAAGCCCAGAACATCATTAAGGACAGTTCACACCCTGGACGTTCACTCTTTGAACTACTGCCGTCAGGTAGATGGTTCAGAGCAATCAAATCAAGGACCACTAGATTCAAGAATAGTTATAATTATAAAATTTCGTTGTACGTGTTACAATGACAGTAAAGGATTATTTTGTCTTGTCTTGTCTTAAATTGCAAGGATTCAAAATTAAGTGGACACTTACTAAATGTTTCTTGGGCAGCTGCATGTGGACAGAAATCAACCTTGATCAAATGATGGGAGGAGGAAAGGCTGGAGAAAAACGGATCTCATCTGTCAAGCATGGTGGTTCTCGTTTAGCTTCAGCATGTATGGCTGCCAATGGAGCATCGGCATTTATTGATGATTTCACTGCCAACATAAACATCAATGAATGCAGAGGCACACAGGAACCTTCTGTGGGCTCAGATTCAGCCAGAAATATCAGAACTCACTGGGCCATATTTCACCATTCTGCAGGACACTGATACTAATCCTAAAATGTTCAGTATTAGGCACTATTTTATTTAATTTAATTTATTTTATTAGTGAATGTGCTGAAGCTCTGAGCCCAGGACAAAGAATATGTAACTGTCCGAGTCCTTCTGGTCTGGCTGTATATGCCATTGTTGTCAGGGTTCTGTCCTACTGCTTCCTGTTTCGGGCTCTTATTTTGTCGCCACTTCCTGTTCCAGGTTCATCTCTGTTATGGACTTTTTATAGTAATCAGTGCTCATTGCCTGCACCTGTTTTCACCCCATTATAAAGCAGCCTTCTCCCACCAGTAACCTGCCATGTTGTTCTTGACTCTGTGCAGACTTTCCAGCGTTTTTGCTTTAGTGATTCGCGTTATTGACCCTGGATTGTTTACTGACCACCGATTTCTGCCTACCCCTTCTCATTGTTGTATGTTTATTCTGTGTACCGACTACTGGACCAGCTTCTTTGACCTCCCGTTTTGGATCCCTTGGCAGTTTTCGTTTGCCAGTATTGACCCTGGACTGTTCTGTGACTTGGATTAATGGTTTTTGGACTGTCACTGTATTTTCTGAGTAAGTGCAGTAAAAGTGATATTATTTACTCTGTCTCGCCTGGCTTTATAATTGAGTCTACCATTAACATTGTGGGTAGCTGTACTGGCCGCCCATGACAATTGGCACAGACTTTGCTGAACATGTGTCCCTTTCACTTGGAGTGTGTTGACCAGCAGCAGCAGGAGTGTCTGCTCCTCAATTTCCCCAGGCCTATGTTAAACTCCTTTTGTAGGACACAACCTTTTGATGCTTTACTTTTGTTATGTGGCTCTGGCAGTGTGATAGCAGACTGATTGATTTGTTGTGATACACAGCTTTCTGTTTGCCAGTCACAGTTCAGGCCTGTTGGTTTGTCACAGCGAGGGATTTACCAGTGGATGACTGTCTGCTTTACTCGCATTTACCTCAGGTTCCCGAAATGTGTTATGCTGGCTCTCAATGATACAAGACTGCAGTCCTGTAGACGGCAGGGGGATACACAGCTGTACCCTCCAGTTAAATACCTTAGGATGCACAGGATTGCTTCCTCCTGAGAAAAGGTTACTATCAAGGTAATGAGAAAAAAAAAACACCTACAGTAAATCATTTGGATGTGTAGCTGTTGTCTGCTCATGCTGTCTTTCCACTGCCACCAGGAACTGTACTCAGGCTGGCTGGCTGCCTGGCCCCAGTTCATGTTTGTGTTTCCATTGCACAGTGTTGCTCTTTCAGAATACATCATGTCTTGTGCACAACTGGAACAAACATCTAGTAGGTGTGCAATAGAGCAAACAGTTTCAGCAAACACAGCTCTTGTATTGGCTTCCTTTTATTTCTTTGTGATAAAAAAAAAAGATGGCGGGTCGCCTTATTCAGCTGAGCGACTTCCTGTTCAAGTTTTCTTTACAAATTAGAATGTAGTGACAGATAGTTGGCTTGAGGGTGGAGGGGACTCTTCGGGGCTGAGCAGGGCAACACATCATGCTTTTCAGCATGGGCTTTGTCCGCTTCTAAGATAAGTGAAATACACATGGGTACGGGACAGTTCCTGTTGGTAGTGGACTGAGGCTTCTTTCTACCAGGTGGACTTAGCTGATCACACAGCAACTTTGCAACAGTGGACTTATACTGTATCTTATTGTTAATGTGTAGTGTATATGCAGTACCTGACATGTATACAAGTAAGCATATGTATACAATTAATAACTGATTATAGATTATCACTCATTCACCTGAATCAAGATGTACAGTTTTGGGTCATTTAACAGTTTGACACTACTTTAGAATGTAATGTATCATTGGAACAGCCTATATTCTGCATAATATGGGTTTTAAAAGTAATATGTTTTACTCTATTTAATCTCTGACCACACTGTTTTACTGATTGGCATGATGTCATAGTGTACTCACACACCATGGAGGAAACGTCTCACTGCAGCAAGGGCAGAGGTTATTTTGGGGGTTAAGTTGCTCTATAAAACATTAAGTGAAATTGTATTTGCTTGCATTTTGTGAAAACTTAACATTCACTGAGTAGCGTTCTTTAAGGATGCTTCTGTTTACTCTGCAACTTTTTTTTTTTTTTTTTTTTTTTTTTTTTTGCAGTTGTGGCTATCACTCTGGGGGCAGTCAAAAAAACTACCAGACAAACTTTAAAGGGCAGCGAGCGCAGGTTTTTGTATGTGACGTCCAATCACATAAAAAAAAATCAATGCTATTTTCTTTATTTACATACATTAAACTAAGCTGAAACAGTAAAAAAAAAACATTAACTAAATAAACATGGAGGACAGCTGCATCAGTTTGCCTCCAAAATGCAGTAGTATCCAACAGGTTATAGTGAGTGGGCAGTTTTTCTGAACAAAAAGATTCTTACCAACATTCTGTGTATTCTGACAGTTTGACCTCCAGCGGCCTGCCTGACTGTCTGTTTTTTGAGACATCAGAAAACTGTCTGTGTCTTGGCTAAATTCCAAGACACATGTTGATAAAATAACAAAGCTGTAAACCTGTTATGTTGTGAGTCACTGCAGTGAGAAACGGGTTTGTATGTAATGATGGAGAAAGACCAACGCTTCAAGCGGCCATCAGCAAATGCAGTTATCTTCTCGCCCTGACCCAGATTGCATTGTGGGTTTTTTTTTGTTTGTTTTTAACTAAAGCAAAATGTGAAGAAGCACCTGAGCTCATCCCCGAGCACTGTTCCACCGCAGCTCTCCACCACTTTTGTGTGGGATAATCTCCCCCAGAGAGAAGAACTGAAGGATTTAGAGCTCTGCACTACATGGCATGAATACAAAAGCTGTATTCCTGACTGAAGACAATTTTGCTTTGGGAAGATTATCTAAGATGTGTGTTTGCCACCCATTGTCATTCTGTGCCATCCAGAGGCTGTTCAGCAGCCCCTCACCCTCCTTCACATCCTCCTAGCCTCTCTGTTCCATCAGGGTTCAAAGATATGTTTGATTATTGAATGCCTCTGACCTGAAGGATATCTTACACCCCAATCTGTCAGTGAAGTGCTTTTATTTATAGTGGCACAAGCCTGAGCCTTTCGGAGAAGGCTGAGGATTTTTGAAGAGTAGAGGGCAGGATGATGTGCTGCAGATTTTCAATAGGAATTTAAAAGAGGCCTCTCGGTATTTGTATGCATCAAAACAGCTCTGTCCTATAAAGTCAAACTACCGTCTACTTATTTATTTTGTATTTATTATTATTATTGGAGAAACACTGTGACCAAGCTTTATTTTTCCTTTAGTTAAACCTCCAAATTCAGTTTAATAATATCTGTAGACTGTTTTTGATCCAGTAATGATACATTGTTGACATCACTAATAGCCAGTGTTTGCTTGTGGGAAGAAAAAGCATTTTCAGTTCTTACAAAGATGGCAGTGTTTCTTATATCTGTGTTTGAACTACAGTAGAGTAGTGGTTGACATTTGTATCTGCTAGGTGATTTGATACAGTTCTAGAAAATAATACTAAAACAATACAGATACAGTACATTTGTAAAAGTTCACTACACTACAACTATCAGTTTAATCACAGAATATCCTACTTTGACTGTTGAAGGAAAAACAAGACTAAGAGTCTTTAGCCACACTAACAGGTTAAGGGTCAGGCTATGTTGTTGTACAAGCCAATGTGCCTAAGGACAAAGACTGTACTTTAGCTAAATGCTAACATGCTCACAGTGACAATGCTAACATGTTGACATTTAGCAGGTATAAAGTTTAGTGTCCACCATCTGATTTTAGTGCATTAGCACTGGTAGAACAAAGTAGGGGAGTGTGGGGTACAGCCTAATAGTTTTGGTTTTTGCTAAATAACTGTAAAATATTTGAGTTGCAAAAATTCATATTTTTATATGAGCAACTGTGTTGCTTGCACCAATCCCAGTGGGGTAGACCCTGTACAGGTCGCCAGTCTATCACAGGGCTGACATGCCATAAGTCACTTGTAGTTAGCTCCCCAGAAAACGATTGTTTTTCATCTAAAATTCTGCTCAGTGGGTCAGACAGCCTTCTGTATTGAGTCATTTCAGTAACACAGTGCAGACAGGTCTTTAACTAAAGCTTCAGGATCTGCTACAATAATGTAACTTACCTTGAACAGTAATCATCTCCAAGCAAGTTTCATGTTTTTGGCCTTGTTTTCCTTTATTTCAATTTTAGCCATATTCAAGGCCAAAAAAGATTTTTCGAATGATAGGAAGAAAATGGCCTAGAATGATAGTAGCTTGTTGGCTCCGGGTGTTTAATTGGCTAACTCCAGCAGTCGGATCACTGCCAAGGAGTTTATGAAGGGGGTTTCACATTGACACTGCTGGAATAAACACCAGTTTTAAGGGAGGAAAGTTCACACTGTTACTGATTAATGAATAATTCTAACATTTAGGCTCTATGCTTAATATGTGCTTGGAGTTTTATCTCAGAAATCAGATAGTGGAACAGAGTGATGGTTTTGGGTGGAAACTATAAATATATGAAATTGTGTTCTTGTCTAAATACTGATGTGCTTGACTGCGTATCCAGTGTCTGGCATAGTTTGATGATAAAAGCACAATTTTTATACGTTAATGTTAAAATATAATAAACAGACATTATTTATTTTTTATGCTAATATTATTTGTGTGAGGGTGTTCTTAACCCCTGTTGTCGGCTGATGTTTTTGGACACACACACAGGTCATTCTTCTTTGCTTATACAGCTAGATATGGCATGTTTTAGCATTACTGTTCCCACCAGAGCAGCTGCTGTTTCTCAGTATGGGTCATTTTAGGTAGCCATAGATGACAGATGTTTATCAAAGGTGGTGTGTGGTTAAAAAACAACAACAAAACAAGTAGTGAATATGTCCATATAAAAAATATTATAACACTGTGGAGCATGCTTTTTATCATATTGATGCAAGTGCATTAACAGTACATAGCTTAGGCTCTGTTTTGAATATTATTTGGGTAGTGTTTAATTAACCACTTGCCATTAATCTTCTAAGGAACTCAAAATTAAAATTTGTTATTGTGTGAAATTGTGCGTTTGAGTATGCGGTTTCAGGTAGCCTGTGTTTATCTGTCCAGCTGTGCTTCGGTAAGGTGCTTTATCCCCTCAGGCTCTTCTGTCCAGTGTGGAGAGCCTTCTGTGCTAAACAGCAGCCAGACGAATGGCGGACTGCTGGGACCGCACAGCCAGGGAACCCTTTCACTTCAGTTTTGTGCATTATGTAGATGCATTTCCCTGAACATTTTCTGCCTGGGGTTTTGTCCTGATCACATTTAATCCCATGTCTCTATTTTTTTTCCTCTTTACCCACAAGGATTCTAGGTCCACATTCTACCTTAGGATTTAATGAGAAAACACACATTTCCATGAAACCATTGTAACTCCCCAGTAGTTTAGGTTATGATTATTTAGCTCATCTCAGTACCACCAATAAATTGTGTGCGGACATTAAACCATTTTCTAATTAATTTAATTAGCTAAATGAATGACCTCATTAGTGCAGCTGTTTAATATATCATGGTGATTATAGTGGCATATTAGACAGCTCTAGTGCTTTTTGTTTAGAAAAGACATGGAGAGTCAGGGGGCTTTCTTGGAGACTCATTTTATCTGCTACATGAAGACATCAATAGACAAGTCATGTTTATTTTATTTATGGTAGTACCTGAGTCACAAAATCTCATCCTTTACAAACAAAACAGGCCAAACTCAAGAATAAAATACACAAAGAGATAAAGGAGACAAAAGACACCAAGACAGGACGAAGCCGTTCGCTGTGGCCAGACACATGATGTTTGAACTGTTATGAACAAAGACAAAGCAAACACGTGCCGAGTCTCCTGGAAGATGGGCTCCCTGGTCACAAATACCTACCTGAAACATCAACAGAACAAAATCATGGGTAAAAGAAAGTAAAAGAAGAAGTGAGAAAAAAGGTCGGTTGGAGAAGGAGGAATAGGAAAAGTCCCAGAATAGCCGATGTCAGAGGAACAGCAGTACTGAAAAGAGAGAGTAAGGACAGACAGAGAGGAATGACAGAAGCTGGCTGGGAGTAACACATTACAGATGTATAGGGGGATATTTATTAAAGTTTTGTGGCTCTTTCTTTGGCACCAAACAGTGAAATTGAGTGTCTACTAATCTACTAAGGAGTCACGATGGGATTTTTGCTTTGTTTTGCATTTGGTCTCATGCAAATATGTGTCTTTAAGGATTATAAAGGTGTTCCCAATCAGGGGAGGACAGAATGGAAGTTTATACAAATACACTCAGCATCTGATTTACCAGTGCAGACCGATCGCTGCTGCAGAGAGACCTGCAGCTCATATTTAAAGTCATGAGAAAGCACTTTTAAAATTTGTGACACTCTAGTCGATTGGCAGCTGTTATTCATTGAAGACATTGTTGTAAGAGCACATCTGAGGAAGGAGACGGTGTTTTTAAATCACATCTCTCATTTTAGGACGCCAGAGGTAAACATGAAGGACTTACTGAATGAAATGAAAGAAAATGTTGTTGACAGAAGACTACGTGATTGCAGTTCATAAATAAGGTTTTTTTTGTTTCTTCAGCCAATATTAAGATTCAGTAACAGTAAATTTAGACTTTCTTCTAAGTTCCATCTCAGAGCACCACGCACAATACAGGTTAATGCGAATAGAACCATGACTGTCCTTAAGGAGCTGAACATTTTGTTAGCTGAAATAGCCGAAAGTATGCTGAAGTAGAATATTCCCATTCATTTGAATGGGGCAAAATTTTCAAAATAAAGCTAAACATTTTTAAAAGTATGAAGTTTAGAAATAATCTGAATAGAAGTATGAATGTCCTTAAGGAGCTGAACATTTTGATACCTGAAATACAGTCAGGGAAAATTTATTTGAACCCCAGCTGATTTTGTAAGTTTGCCCACTAACAAAGAAATGATCAGTCTACAATTTCAATGGTAGGTTTATGTGAACAGTGAGAGACACAACAATAACAAAAAAATCCAGAAAAATGCATTACAAAAAAGT